TTAGAATTAATAAAACTTTGTTAAAGAATTTTGTGAAATCCAATCTTATCCTAAAATTATTTTAATAGTGACGATTCGAATTGTTGTTATTCGCGTAAGTCATTTTCGTACACCTGTGTACTTTTCTTTGAAAATGATGTAGCTAAATATTTTATCTTATTTAACCCATCGTACTACCATTCGTGAAAGTACGAATTGTTTTTTCTTTCTACATTGTTCGGTTATCGAAAAAATTCATTTTTTCTGAATTCTAGGTCGAATATCAAGAGTTTTGTCCGTAATTCTCAATTTTTGTCATAAAACTAAGGTTCCATGCAATAAGATGGTCATATTGGAATTTGAATAAAAAAAATTGAGCGGATCGATGTATATTTATCAATGTTTGGTTACTTTTCATTTTTCATTGAAAGTTTCGGTCATCACTTCAGGTGAAAACTCAAAAAAAAAAAAACAAGTCTGAATTATTAGAAACGACAAAATCATAGATTATTCGAGTCAGTTTTAAACACTAAATTTGAAAAAGATTTCTCGTAGACGCTGCACAAAATTCGCCAAAAATTGAACATAAGGTTTTTTTGCAATTGACAGCTCAAACTCTATGGAACCGTGTATAGAAAAAAGTCTTACTTGAATTTCGACTTGTGCGCGCCTTATAAAAACTGTTAGCGCAATCCCTGAAGGATTTAAATATAAAACAAGATAGAGCTACTGATATTGTAAAATAAGTGATCTATCAATAGTTCGATTTATGTATTCCTGCCTACTATTAACGCGTAAGTGTCAAAGAAAACTTAAAAGACAACAATTGTACTAATTTCGAAGTTGAATTTAATCCAACGATTATGTCTGTCACGTCTGTTGGGGAGTGGACGTTCTAAATTTCTACTTCTATACTTTAATAAACCCTTTAGATTGTATTTCACAAAATTCTTTAACAAAGTTTTATTAATTCTAATTTCTAAATGAAAAATAAAAATTAATATAATTGATCAGAATGATCAAAATTTATAAATTATTAATTAAACAAAAAACAAAAAAAAAGCTCGAATGAGTTTTCGTGAAGTCAATAAAAGATGGTGCTAAACCCCTAAACAAAACATCTCAACAAACTTTCGTCGACTAGAAACATACAAGGCACTATAGAAGAGAAAAACACTAGTAACGTTCAAGATAATAATGTTATTCCACAGCTGCAGTTCGACGACGCTCAATTAGAGCACGTTGCCATTCAGGTTTATCAAACTGTGAACCTGATTGAGAAGATCCAGTTATAAATTGATGTGACTTTGAAACCGGAACTGCGTTTTGACCCTATAGACAAATATAATAAAAAAGAAATTATTTTTTTTTTCTTAGGCATTATATTAAAATATACTGTTTGAAATTCAGGTCTTTTCGATGTATTATTATTTTGATTATTTAAATATTCATTATCAGATGTTATAGATGATGTTTCTTCAGTTCTTGCTGATGGCATTACAGGAGGTCCAAGTGATCGACTTTGTCGTCGTCTTTCTACATAAGAATTTGAATCTATATTATCCGCTTTTGACGAACCTTTAAAAGTAAACATAAATCAAAATTATTAATTTAATTTTTTTTCCTCTTACTATCACGTCGTACTTTGCGTAAATTCGATCCAACTTTCCTAAAATAAAAATTATTCTTATTTCAGACAAAATATAAACTAGAGAAAAAGAGAAAAAACAAGCATTAAAAAATATATATCTATTGAATATGTATTCCCATATGTTAGTCATGCAAAATAGTAAAATAACTATATATATATGCATATTGTTGCTTTTCTAACAAATTTCTACGCACCATTTTATTTTATCTTTAAAAAGTAAAAAAGTTATTAAAAAAAAATGAACTGTTTATATTTTTACTTACTGAATTTCTTGTTCAAATGCTTTTGGTGTCATGTTACCCGTTTTAAGCCATGGTGCATAAGTTTGTGATGGTAATTTTGGACGTCGTGGATTTTTTTGTTGTTGATTAAGTGAATCCATACTGTGCATAAGAACATTTGCAACTTGATCACTATTTGTCATTGAACTAAGTCTACTTGCTTCATGTTTTTCAACACGATTACGAAGTTCAGATACATCAAAACGATGATTTACTAATCTTTTTGATGAAAAAGATTCATTATCTGCGGAAGAACTTGTTTCATTCGTAGAGTTTATTATTAATTCATTTTCATCAACTTGATTTGATGCATCAGACCGTTCGACATTACGTTTTTTAACAACTAATCTTACAATAGTTGCATTTTCTAATTGAATTTTCTGACTAATTGGAGAAGAATTTTCATAAATAGGCGGTGAATCTTCATGAAGACGAAGTTCGTTGGCAAGTGCTGGAAAACCATAATGATCGGCTAAATCAGCGGGTGTTAATTGAGAACTATTGCATAATGTTATTGAACAATAACCTCGTTCAATTAATATAGCACATGCACCTTGTTGACCATTTTCAGCTGCCTAAAGTCAAATATAATTACGAAATTCTATAAATGAAATTAATTTTTATGTTAAATATGACAAAAAAAACTTTGTTTTCTTAAAACAATATAATCAATATCTTGAATCGTTTTTTCATGTTATTGTTTAAATACAAAATTCATCTATTATCTATGATATTTCCTATTGTTTGGGACAAACAAAACTCTTACAGTTTTATTTAATTAGTCAATGAGAAAATGATGAAAGTCAATAGCAAAAAAACCAAAGTTGAAGACTGTATCATTAAAGAATATATAGTATTATATTCAAGTAGTCTAATTTAAATCGAATAAAATTATAGAAAAATAAATATTAACAACTGGAAATATTTGATCTATGAATGAAAATAAATGGTTATTTCTTAAGATTTTTATAGTAATCAGGCTTCAAACTTGACCGTCTTATTGAACGACTTAGTCTGATCTCGAAAAAATTTTCGTCCTGGCTGAGCGACCCATCAGACTTCAAGACGGAAGTTTTTGCTATTACTCTCTAGAGACGGCCTGTCCATTTTTCAAGAAAGATTTTCCATCTTAGAAAAAAAATCTGACTTTAATTGATTTTTTTTTTGTCAATAAAAATCGATTAAAATGGTATTAGTTGAATCCAATAAAAATTTGATTTTTAAGCTTTAAAGATAGATTTCATCTAGTGTTAATCTTTCATCATCGATTTAAAAAAAAATATTTTTATTTCAATAAAATTTTATTAATCAATCAAAGAAAACTAAATTAATTGAAATCAATCTTTAAAGCTGAATAGATAGGATTTCAGTCAGAATAAAAATAGCATCATTTTAATGGATTTTATTCTGATTTTTCCTCAAGACTTTTTTACATAGTCTTTGCATCTTACAACTGATAGCAATCAGAAAAGTTTCTTTTTACTTGTTGATGCTGTTAGTTAATAAATGACAGTCTTTAAGAATTTGAAGTACCTAAGAATTCATCTTGCTCTTCTAATTCAATTTATCTCTTATGTTGGTTTTTTCTCAAGCAGTAAATTTATGTCATCATAATTAACTCGGGATCACTATGAAAATATATACATTAAATAATGCTATACTGAGATGAATCGGGTCAAACAAACATGAGCAATTCTTGATCTGATATTAATTCATCATTCCCAAATGTTTTATATATTTACATAAATTGAAAAGATTCTGACTGAAATTAGCTTATAAACATTTTACTTTTGTAGAAATAACACAAAATATATTTTTCTCTTATATAAAAAGAAAATTTTTCACTAACCACATGCAATGGTGTATTACCATTGCTCGATGTTATAATTCGAGCATTTTTTTCTAATAAATATGTCAAAATAGCTTCGTTACCAGTTGCTGCTGCATAATGAAGTGGAGTATTATTCATATAATCAACATCATCGACATTAGCGTTTTGTTTTTCTACCTATAAAATATAATATATATCAATCATTATTCATTTCTTGTTTGATTAAAAATATTTTTTTCTTTTTATGAAGCTAATTAAACTGACATTTCTATGGATTTAATTTTAAAAAAAAGAATACATTATGAGACTTCAAGTGAAAAAAACCTCTTTGTAAAATTTATGGTTTCTTTAAAGTGCATTGAAGATCTTCGTAATTTTGTTTTCTATGCAATATTAATCCTACTAGACGAATTATTTAAAATGATTGCTGTTCAAAATATTGCTATTTGTTCTTACCAGCCATTTAACAACACGAAGATGTGAACTTTGACAAGCTAAAAATTAAAAATAAAATTTTTTTTTTCTTCTGTTTTTGATAAAAACAAAAAAAAAATAATTCAAATAATTAACCAGCATGTAAACAATTTAAACCATTTTCATCTCTTAGTTTAAAATTAGCTCCATGTGAACATAATATTTTAATTGTATCTATTGATCCATATTGACAAGCAAGATAAATAGGTGTTAATAAAGTATTTGTTTGTTCGTTAACTGTATCTGGTGCGATCGTTAATAATAATTTAACACAATTTGTATGACCAGATGAAGCTGCATAATGAATTGGTTGAAATCCATTATATGATCGTATATGAGGATCAGCTAATTCATTTTCAATTAAATAATGAAGAGTTCTTATTGAACCATAAGCAGCCGCTAAAATGATAAAGAATCAAAACTTTAGTTTTTAATTAATATTTATTGAATCGTTCTTTTTTTACCAAGATGCAATGGTGTATTTCCTTGTTCATCTCGAACAGTCCAACGAAGTTTTTGAAATGAATCTTGTCTATTATGATTATTTAATTTTGAATAATGGAAGATATAATTAAGTGTTTCAACTTGATCACAAACAGCAGCATCATGTGCACATGTTGCACCATGCTCTGTACGCAATTGACTAATATCTAAATTTTTTTTTTCTATTAAATATTCAAGTATATGTAAATGTCCGAATCGTGCAGCATAATGAACAAGTGTTGCTTGCTGTTCGTCACGTATTGATTTAATATCTGTTGTTGATAAAGAATTTAAATATTTTTCTAATGTTTTCAAATCACCTTGTTCACAACCTTGAATG